AGGCAAGGGCTGACCCCTAGAGCTAGGCCTCTCCACTTGCTGGAGGGGAGTAGATGGAAACCAGGGCCAGCTCCTGGAGTCCCTTGCCCCCATGAGGAGCCACCACAAGAACTGCATCACACTCATCACTGGCCAGCCCCGGTAAGGTACCCCTGCCTTCCAGCACCCTTCCGTAAGCCCTTCACCTCCCACCACTATCCTGGACTCCTGCACCCTCACTCCCAACCCTGAGCCTGCCCCAAAACCAAACCCCTGCATGACTCCTTAACTTCCCCCGCACCCCTCCAAACACCAACCCTCTGTCCCAAACTCACCTCCTGACACCGTAACCCCCTGCCCTGAGCCCCCGCACATGTCCCATCCCTCTGCTTAAGAACATGAGCAAAGCCGGGGACATTGCTTGGCGCTCTACAAAGACCGGATCCCACTCCAGCTACATTGCAGTGGCTGCTTGTAACCCAATGCCACCCGGGACCCGCACAGCAGTTTTAACCCTGGTCCCTTTGCAGCCCGGCCTCGTCAGCCTCCTTCTGCAGCCCTGGGTCCTGAACTTCCCACAAGCCACTGTCTTGCTGCCAGGCTTGCCGCAGATACACCGGATGCACACAGTGCGCTGCCCCTGCACGGAGCTCAAGCAATTCTCTGGCTTTGGTCGCCCACGTGGGTGCAATTCATTGTCACCCCAAACTGCCGGGACCCGCTCGCCTTGTGGGCTGCGAACTCCCGCTTCCCATGCAGCAAATTCTTCACTTTGGCCAGACAGGGGCAGCACAGAGAGTTCAAGCCAAACCCTGTTCACATGCTCCCCTCCCAGCGCAGATTGGAAAGTGTAAAGTCTCACAGGTAGTTACAAATGATTGGGGGGAGAGGGGCGCAAATTTTGCCTTTGCCCCCAAGTGCATAACAGCCTCGCTACGCCTCTGCTGGATGCTACCAACATTTCTGCAAACCTGCTGCCCCTGCGTGTCTCTCCCTTTCTCATTGAAATTAGGTTCCCAATTTATCACAGAAATCAGGCCCATACATGCTGGGGAGAGGAGGGGGCACAAAAGCACACACCCCCTACGGTCCCCCAAGTGAGTATGCTTTGGCCAGCCAGGGAAAGGCAGGAGCAGCGTGCTGCCTGAGCCTCCCTCCCCCATTCTCTGACCAGCCTGGGAAGGCTGGGGCTGATTTCCCCGCTGACTTGGGCAACTATGGGAAGTGCATTCACACCCTTAATGTCGACATTTAAAAAAAAAAAAAAAAAAGCACAGAAATCCTGCATATGGGCCTGGAAATGATAAGCCATTTGTTTTTCTATTTATTTCCTTTCTGGGAGCTGGTAACAGCTTTTGCTAACTGCTATCTCTTTTGAAGATTGCCAGCTCTTGAGAAATGTATGCTTGGGATATAGTTTTGGAGGCTGACTAGGTCCAATAAAGGAAGGAAATTGTTTTGTAACAGTCTTTGGTTTTGTTTATAACTCTTTGGGTAAAATTTAGAGGGAATGTGCAACACTTACATTGAAGGTATGTCTACACAACAAGCGCTACAAAGGCAAAGCTGCAGTGACTGCAGACACTTACACAGTGATAAAAAGGGTTTTTCATTACTGTAGTAAATCCATCTCCTTGTTTCCATTGACCAAGCTGTGTCTGCCATGGGTTAGGTTGATCTAATTAGGCTCCAAAGAATGTGACATTTTTCACTGCCCTGAACGAAGTAGCTAGGTCAGTCTGAGTTTTAGATGTCTCAGAGGAGTAGCCATGTTAGTCTCGAAGGCGCTATAGGACCATTCAATGTTTAAGTATTTTTAGTTACAGACTAACCAAAAAATATAGGTGATATTATGAGCTTTGGTGAGTACAACCCACTTTTTCAGATGACAAATATGGAGCAAGGAGTACAAATATATAGCAGAAAAAGAGAGAAGAGGAGGAGAGGAAAAACCTGTCAATTAAAGTGTCTATGCTAAATAAGTCTAACAGAGTGGGCTGTGAGTGCCCGATACTTAACTTGGGATGTCATTTGGGTGTGGAATATAATGGCCCACCCAAGACAAGTCTTTGCTCAATCCTTGGGTGAATGTGTCAAATAACAAGGGTGGCAGGGTATGAAAACAGCGGCAAGTCATGTGTAGCAGTTCTACTCCGGGACTTTCATGTTCCCTGGGCCAAATTTTGATCTCACAGTGGTATAGATATGGAGCATGTCTAATAAAATCAAAGGAGTTAGTAACATCAGCTTATAACACTGGTGTAAGATCAGCAGCAGTTTGGTTGCATGTAGTGCATGCAATGGGGGGTTTAAAGGAGCATCGCATATGAAGAATTGACATGAATTTAGAGGAAAAATAACAGAGTGTATAAAAGGATAGGTTTTGGCTGTTAAGGGTGTGTGAGGTTTTCTAAATTAAGTCAGATACATACAGGTTTGCTATTAACACAGAACTCAAGGCATTTTGAAACTTGAAAACTAAAGGAATATTCGTTAACTGCAGCAGACTGTTTACATGAAACTTTTGTTTGTCATCTTCAGGCAAATTTGTTACAGGGAAGAGAATTTAGGCATTACCTCACTGTATTCACATGTCAAATTCAGCCTCTCTAGATGAGCCGTGCAGAGTTTGGATTGGCACAAGCTCCTCAACAACACATTAGCCTTGTAGTCATGAAGCCACCAAGCTAACTTCAGACATTAAAATACTTTATTAAAGAGGCATGTTTTTATATGTACCAAGGTGGATTTGGATGAACGTAGGTACTTAGAAGATTAAAGCAGCCTGAAAAAGCCCTAGAGCTGTAGGCACTGCCTATGTAATGTACTATGTTCTAATCCTCATGTGTGCTCAGACAGGTAATTGTTTTTCATTATGTTTGGCACTTACCTGCCAATTCAATACCAATAAAATCTGAGCTGGGCCTGCTGCAGTAAAGGAACGTCAGGCAAGATCTGAAGCTGACATGCAGAGGGCAAAATAGTGCTCTCAGTTATGCACAGGGCATAACATTTTTCACAGCTCGGATGATGTATCTAGGTCAATATACGTTTTTGTTGTAGGCCAGGCCTATGAGCAGAATGTGGTCAGGACAGTTAGCCCTACATCACGGCTTATAAATTAATTCTACTTATTGTGGAAAAGTAATTACGGCATTCACTGTGTCCTGTTTACTCTTTTTGGTAACCATCATACTTTTATTCATGTACTTATTGCGGCATCTGCTGTGGGGTAAGGTCAGTGAGGACTGTTCTTCCATTGTTGCCAGCTACTCTTCTTGCCTTTGTGGGGTACTGGCATCGATGGGCGAGCACCTGGAGATTGATGTATTGCGTCTGAGCAGATGTGATAAATCAATAACCAATGGATCAACCATTGTAGCATCAATCCCCAGCATAGTAGAGACAAGCCCTTAGATACTTATATAGCTCTCCACATTCCTGTAGTGCCTGAGCACTCTACACTCTTCAATGCATTTATCCTAATATTAATCCTGTCATAAGCCATTATTCCCAGTTGGGGGATGGGGAACTGTTAGATGGAGCCACTGACTTGGGAGATATGAAACAATGGAAAAGGAAGAGATCTCCAATCTTCCTTAGGCACATGGAGGATTTACTGGGCACAATCAGTAATGTGGGGTATGTCTACACTACCACCCTAGTTTGAACTAGGGTGGTTAATGTAGGCAACCGGAGTTGCAAATGAAGCCCGGGATTTGAATTTCCCGGGCTTCATTTGCATATTGCCAGGTGCCGCCATTTTTAAATGTCCGCTAGTTTGGACTCCGTGCCCGCGGCTACACGCGGCACGAACTAGGTAGCTCGGATTAGGTTTCCTATTCCGAACTACTGGTACACCTTGTTCCACGAGGAGTAACGGTAGTTCGGAATAGGAAGCCTAATCTGAACTACCTAGTTCGTGCCGCGTGTAGCCGCGGGCACGGAGTCCAAACTAGCGGACATTTAAAAATGGCGGCACCTGGCAATATGCAAATGAAGCCCGGGAAATTCAAATCCCGGGCTTCATTTGCAACTCCGGTTGCCTACATTAACCACCCTAGTTCAAACTAGGGTGGTAGTGTAGACATACCCCACATTACTCTAGGTGGGGAAAATTATGGCAAGATGTTTGCTTTCATCTCGTAATTTACTTGCTACCTCATTCTTATGGCCACCCCTGTGCAAAATGGTAAGAGGTCCCCTCCCCTCAGTACTCTGCCAAGTGGCGAATGGTACTCAGTCCTGTGTAGCCATGACACTGTCCTCATCAGCTGTTACTGCTGTTTCTTCCTCCATGCAGCTGGCTGTGATGTTCTCTGGTTTCTGGTGCTCCATCCAAAAAAGATCAAGAAGCCAGGAGATAGCTGATAGCTAGGGAAGAATGCTAAGGAATTCATTCTCTGCCATCACTAGCTGATGCTAATGTTAGATGATGTTGGGCCATTGAGGCTGAAACTCTGGCTGGCAGTTAGGTGTGCAAATGTGGTGAGTGGCCAGTGAAAATCCTGAGCCATATTCACAGCTTCATAGGTCTAAATATGCTACTGCTATGGTGAAATACTAATCATGAACTAATAACTGTACAAAGTATTTAACAAAATTATACCGAGCAAGTAAGATCTTGTAACTTCTGCAAATGTGCATTGCTTATAAAATTCCTTTCCTCTGCATTCTAGTCAGTTGCAAGCCTGGTCTCAATAATACATCTTATGTCACTTACATAGCAAGTTGATTTAGGCCCCACTCCAGCAAATAATTTAAGCATGTGCATAGCTTTAAATGTGAGGAGTTCTATTAAATTCTATGGAATGACTCGTGATTAAAGTTATGCATGTGCTCAGGTGCTTTGCTGTATCTGTATCTTTGAGACAACATAAAGTTTGGTCATGTGTTCACCTTCCCTCATTCATCTTAACTCCCGTATGTCCTTCTGAAAATCTGTAAATAACGATAGTAAAATAATAAAGATGTTAACACAAACATCTAAAAAAATATTGTGCTCCCTGCAAGCTGCTTACCTTTCCCCTTGTTTTCTGGTGTTTCCTTTCCAGCTCTACTCCATTCCACTGTCTGTTGTCATTTCCCCTTTTGTGCTTATCTATTTAGACTGTAAATGCCTGGAAGCCAGAACCTGCTTTCTTATTTATCTGCCCAGCACCATGCTCATCAGTGACTCTACATAAAGAAATAAACAAGCTGAGTGAAAGAAGAATTATACAAAGACCCCAAAGGTAGCAATGTAATTGCCATGACTACCTCATAAACAAGTAGGGTTGCCAGATATTTTCACAAAAAAATACTGAAAAAAATTGGTTGAGGAAAAAAAGAAAAAGAAAAAGAAACCCCCAAACAAACAAAAAACAAACAAAAAAAAACTGGGGGACCAGTATGTTCTGTTGTTTTTTTTTTTACTGGACAGAGTCCACAAATACCAGACACCTGGCAACCCTATAAACAAGTGCCCCCCAAGTCAATAATAAATACCTTTACTTTTTAATTTCAAATGAGAACATCAGCAAGCATGACAGTTCAGTTATAAATATAGGGAGGAATCTATAGCAACATTAGAAGATCAACAAAAACAATTAGAGGTCTAGAGAAAATATGACCTATATCTGAGGAAAGTCAAAAATAATTGGATTTGTTTAGTTTGGAAAAGAGAATACTGAGAGATGACATGATAGCAGCTTTCAAATATTTAAAAAGGTGCTATAAGGAGGAGGGAGAAAAAAATAGGTCCAAATCCAGGCAAGCCAGGGGCTACATCCAAACCCCAGGCCTCAGATTCCACACCCCTAATCTAGATAGAGGTAGGTCCTGCCATGAGGGCAGGGAACTGGACTTGACCTTTTGAGGTCCCTTCCAGTTCTAGTATTCTATGATTAAAGGTACTCCTACTTGAGTGAAAGCCTTACAGTACAACTGTTGAAACTATTCCTTGTAACTAGTTAATGCTATCAGAATGCTATAGATCACTTTTAGTTTTTTTAACAATGAAAGAAACAAAGCCAGCACCCTGAAGAAGCATGCATAGTATGCAAGAGCAAACACATGCTTCCATTGTTGCAACCTTTGTTCTCTCTCCTCCCCCCATTCTTTGTAGCCTTCTCTCTTTGTTACTTCTTATCTTCTAGTTAGTAGGCTCTTTAAACCCTTTCTTAAGTACATAGTATTCATTCAGGCAAACATTACCTTTTACTTCACTGGGACTAAGGAGTGAACGGTTTCAGGGGTGGAGAACCTCAGGCCTTGTAGCCAGATGCTCCCCCCCCCCCACTTGCCTGGATCCTGCTCCCCTCAGGGCTGTAGCACACAAAATCTACTAAGCTGGGCCTCCCAAGATTCTGGTGTGCAAGGGGAATGTCTTTCTCCTTCTGAGTTGGCAGCCACTGTCAGTGAGGGTTTTGTTTTTGTTTCTCACTTGTGTGCTGCCCCTGACTGATTTTTGTGTGGGTCAGTGACCCCCAAACCCAAAAAAGTCCCCCACCTCTAACTTTACAGGCTTATGCAAGACCTTGATCCTGGAAAGACCTATACATATTACAAGTTGCATCGACTTCAGTATGTACTAGCACATGCCTAAATCCATGTCCCAGGTCCCCAAAAGATGTATTGTCTTTTGGCTGAGACAATACTGGGTTTTATTTTTTTTACACAACAACAGCACTGTATACACCAATCAATGAATAAATCAACACAGAACTACAACAAAGAAGTCAAACAGATGAATATGACCGATGGTGATGAAAATATTTTGGGGGGAGGGGCGGGAGAGAGAGGTTTTGTCCTGTTCTGTTTAAAAGCCAGAGGGCTGCGAGTTATATACTAAGTTCACTTCCAATCACAGACAATGAGTCCGATTCCCAAAGCTATTTAACTGCCCAACTTCTGCTGATTTCACTTGAGTGGCCCCTGTTTGCAATGAACAGCAACCTACTGTATGACCTTCTGCCCCCCCCGCAAGAATGCAGCCACCTATGTGTAACGCAGCCTGTAGGGGTCACTGTCACAAGTGAAAGTTGCCCTGATGCCGAAGAGGATCCTAACCCAGCCCCCGCTGCCAGCTTCTTCCCCCAGCCAGAATTCCTCCAAGAGGCTGGGCTGCCTTCCAGCTGGTCTGCCCGCCCTGTGCATTGTGGGACTCGTAGTCCTCTCCGGCGCAGGCTTGCTTGGCGCTAGGGGGAGGCGGGACTACAAGTCCTACAAGGCCCGCGGGGCAGCTGGCGCTGGCCGTTCCTTTTGAATGATTTCACTGCGCTGTGCCTGCCCAGCGCGTTTCGCAGCAGCCTGCCGGAGGAGGCAGGGAGCATGGTGTAAGGGCCGGGCGGGGAGGGGGCTGCCGCCGGGGACGAGAGCCGCCAGCCTAGCGCCCAGCCCGGTTCATGGCAGCCGGGGGAGCTGGCAGCGCCGCAGCGGGGCCAAGTTGTGCTGGCGCAGGGCGGCCCATGGCAGCCCAGCGGCTGCGGGGCTGGTAAGGGCGCTGCGTCCGTCCCCTCACTGCCCGGCTCCCCCCGCAGCCCCCCTCGCTGCGCTGCCCCGTCGGACGGGGCTGGGAGGCGCCGCGCCCGGCCGGCCGAGATGGCTCTGGCCACGGAGGAGGAGGAGTACGCCAAGCTGGTGATGGAGTCGGAGCCTGAGTGGCTGCGGAGCGAGCTCAAGCGGCTCTCGCAGGAGCTGGGCGAGACCACCCGGGAGAAGATCCAGGCGGCGGAGTACGGGCTGGCCGTGCTGGAGGAGAAGCAGCAGCTCAAGCAGCAGTACGAGGAGCTGGAGGCGGAGTACGAGACCATCCGCTCGGAGATGGAGCAGCTGAAGGAGGTGAGCCGCGGGGTGGTGGCCCGGGGTGACACGCCGGGAGTGGGCAAGGCAGGGAGCGCGGCGCAGCGGCCGCAGCACTGTGTGACTTTGGGGGGGCTCCCCTCCGCCTTGGGGGTCCCCTCAAGGTAAAGCCGCTGCGGAGCCTGGAGTGGCTCCCCCCCCGGGGGGCGCCCCCCCCCCCCCAAAGGCACGCAGGACCGATGATGCACCCGCAGGGCGGCGGCAAGGCCTGGCTGATCGCTGCCTGCCACGCAGCGGTGGAGATATGGCGGGGGCGTAGGGGATGCATCCCTCCTGGGAGCTGCTCTGGCCGGTCTGGGCGCGCGGGTGGATGTGATTTCCCCCTCCCCGAGAAGTTTGGCTTCAGCTCTCGCTGGGCAGCAGCTGCGGGCTGCATCTTCCAACTGGGCTGGAGCGCAGCATCCTGCCCAGTGCGGTGTCACGGCCAGATCCGGCATCATCACGCTCATCACTGCTGGCGTAATGCTGGGCAGCCCTTTAAAGGGACAGCTCGGCAATTCCTCTAAGACCCTCTGCCCTTCCCATGACATCTGCTGTGTCTTCTCTCAGCTGGGCGCCAGGCACAGGAAAGCGGATACTTGAGGCTAATGCGCTGGAGATCAAGTGCCAGTCTGGGACTGAGTGTGCTCCGTGCAGGGGGAAAGGAATAATGGAAGTGACCGTAATTCTGTTCTTTGCTGCATAATGGTACACAGCCCAGGGCTCCCACAAAGCACCTCTTACATGAACCCAGTTCCCTGACTGTGAGGTGCAATTTGATATTGGAATCAATTTTTTCTCTCAACTTTCCCATCCCCCAGATATACACTGTTTTGTGAATTGCATTATTTAAATCTGGTTGTTTATAAATGGGATAAATATGGGGAGTGAACTATGAGTTACATTAAATAGATTTCCCCACCTAAGTACAAAGCTTTAAAATAGTATTTTATTTTAAAGCAGAAAATTTGTTGAGAGATAACTGTTAGGCCTTCTTATAACAGGTTGAATAATTGATATTGAAATATTGGCTACTGAGCATTCCGAGGATCCTTTCTGCACAGTGCTGAGGGGTCTCTAATAAGTTATCCTTATAAGAAACAGTCTGTAAAGACCAGCAAAGGAATGAATGGCTCTGCATGTGTAGAAATGCCATACTCGGTGCCAAAGATCCACCTACTGCTGAGCCGTTTGACACACTGTGTCAGCCATCCATGTTAGAGCTTTAATGGGACATGGAGCTTCCTGGCAACAGAGCCAAAAGTGCAGAAATAAAATAATTGGCCTTTTGAGCATTAAAGTGTAAAGCAGAGGCGTGTCAGCATTAACTTGGAAATTCCTTGTTGTTGCTGGATTGCCTTAGGGCCAAGTGCAGGCCCCTAGCTTTGAAGTTCCTCACCTCAGAAGTGAATGGGTCAGGGGGAGCTCTCACTTTTCCTACTGCTAATTGTTCCAGGCCCTGGAGATCATCTTCTGCAACAGTAGACTAAAGGGATAACTTCACTTGGCATGGTGATTATAGGGTAATTACAGTGAGGTTTACTTCTTTTCCCCTATCACTCAACTAGGGGTGGGGACAGGTAAATATGCACCTCAACCCCCCAGGCTCTGTAAACAAAGGCTGGGGAGTCCCTTAATCTTCAGTCAGCAGTGGAGAGACAAAGCACTTCTTTCCATGAGCCCAGGAGTGTTGCTCTTCGTCTGTCCATGTTACAGGATGCCCGTGAGGGCAGAGAGCAGCTGTGTTCACCTATTCCTCTGGCCCGCTCAGCACCAAAGATCTAATCCTCCACAGGGTGAAAATGGAAGAGCAGAGGAGTGGAAGAGAACCAGAGAGCTATGGGAGGGCAGGCCTCTTGAAGTGGCATAGGCTCAGATCACATGGAGAAGCGGAGGAACTGTAAGAGGCTGGAGATCCAAGAGTGGAAAAACAGGGCTTGAGCGACCAGAACTCCTGTTGAGGGGGGACCAGGTACCTTGGAGAGTAGGGATCGAGCTCCTGCAGAAAGGATTTCTCAGTGCTCATTTGAAAGTATCCGGTATGGAATTCCTGGGGATGTAGAGGGAATGAGGTGGAAGGGCATATGATGCAATGCAGGGCAGTGAGGAAGAGCACACAGATGCTCTTGTCTGTGGCCAGACTGTATTGGGCTATCTCTCTCTCACAGGGTCCTAGAGCCAGAGCCCAGGCCCCAGCCTGGAAGTCTGCTAAGCAATGAAATGCCTGTCAGCCTGAGCCCCATGAGCCTGAGTCAGCTGGCATAGGCCAGCTAAGGGTTTGTCATTGCAGTGTAGCCATACCCAAATTTGTTTCTGTGCAGGTCTGAGCTTGTT